GAATATTTCCAGGTGTGTATCTTTCAATTCAATAGTTATAGTCTATTTCAAAAGAGTGTAGAGTAATAAAATCTCATTAAGTATTCAAAAGCGCCACAGGGTGATCCGTCAATAAATTCTGTCACTTCCCTAGTCCGCATTGCAAAATTATGTCGTTTCATAAAGAGCAGGTAGGTATCACCCTGTTTTAAGGGATTTGTCCATTGTTATCGACGGATAAATACCAAGAATACTGCCTTGTGGTACTCCATATTTTATTGGGGATTGTTTACTGAATTTATTGTCATGGTACACAGATTGTGTTCGATTTGTCAAATAAGATCGCATCAAATCAAGAGATATACATTTAAAGGTGGAGATTCAGATGATCCCGCGAATCTTCGTCCGATCTCTCTCATTCCAACTACAGCCAAAGTTATCGAAAAACTTGTGAAAATACGTCTGACAGTTTTCCTACAACACCACAATATTTTAAGTGAAAGCCAGTTTGGTTTTCAAAGCAATAATAATACGCACGATGTTATCTTTTCATTTCTTTGTGATATTTACAATAAGTTTAGCTCTGGTAGTGTAGCAGCTGCGGTCTTTTGTGATCTTTTGATAGCATTTGATAGCGTTGATCATAAGATCTAGCTAAGAAAAATTCACCAATACGGCTGCAGAGAAATGCCGCTCAAATGGTTTAAATCTTACCTTTCAGAAAGGAATCAAATGGTAAAAACAACAGGACTTTCAGAAAAAGAAAGGAAATTTTATGTGGTGTTCCACAAGGATTAATTTTGGGACCCACCTTATCTTATTATATGTCAATGACATTGCAAATTTGAGCATTTCTGTAAATTTTACTCTTTTCGCTGATGACACGACGATATTGTGGAACAACTCAAATGATTTACACAATTCAATATATTCTGATATGAAAAAATCAAGGAGTGGTGTGATGCTAATTTGCTATCCTTCAATATTTCAATATCACTAAAACAAAAATTTTATCATTCAGATGTGCTCAAGAACGAGTCTCAATCTAATTTTTTTTTCATTTCTTTATTTTTTATTCATTCAATTGTTCTATTTTTACTTGTATTTCATTCCACTATTATTTCATTCCAGGTTTATTTTGCTTAATATAATTGTTATTTTCAGCTATTCATTTTTGATTCTTCTTTTTTAGTTGTTTCAGGGATTTCAAATCATTTTATATAGTAGACAATGGAAGTCCGAACTGGTGAAATTCATGATGAAATATTGTCAATCACTTTCAAACAAACATTTTTGTTTATATTCTTGTTGGAGTAAATTGATAACAGTTCAAAGTGGAGTCATAAAAATGGACAAAACTTTCGAAATAACCTAATAATTCCAAACAGTATCCACATATCTCTTGTCACTGTCTTGCTATTTTTTTTTAAATAATAACTGATGTATACAATGTTTTTATTTTCATTATATCTGATTCAAGACTGATTTTTTGCCATTTTTTCCCGCTTCATTCATGAATTTGCTTTGGTTTCCTTGTTACTGTCTAGCTAGATCTATTATGTCTTCCTTTCAAATTTTAATTATATTTTCTGTGATCCGCAAAACTCTATTCTGGGCTATAACAGCTAATGTTCACTTACATTTTATTATTAATGATATTATTTGGATTTAGACTTCATTATTATTATGACTAAAATCATTATCTCAATTTAACCACCAGATTATTCGCAGATAAACCATTATTTCTTCATTTCCTATTTATATCATATTCATCGTTAGTTTTTGATACATAATCATTGCTCTTCTAATAATTTTCTACGTTATTATGTGTCTCTTGTCTTGTCATATACATCAAATTATTGACTTTCATTCAATATCACGGCCACTTCTGTGGTGACAAACCATTGCAAAGAATTTCACTATCGTAGTATTCTAGAGATTGGCTTCATTTCGACATGATTCCAAGCTATAATTATATTAGTGTGTCACTTTCTTTATTTCCAATGCTATACAATTATAGCCGGTTAATTCAAATTTTTATGGTCGCATGTTGTTTAGCAATGTAGCGAATATTGCCCCCGAAGATATGAATGTTTTGCCCAGATGAAAATAAGGTACAGCTGCACAGCTGTTCTGATAATTCATTGTCTGAAAACCTAATGAATCTTAGAGAAATGTTTTTCTCTTTATGCAAACCTATTGTGTCTTCCGAAGTACAAATATCATTCTATCAAGATTTATTCACCAAGCCATCAAACTATGTTGATAATAATTCCATAAACTAGTACAAACGATATGGTTTTCTTTACACTTCTACCAAAGATGGCATTTATTTTGAGAAGCAGTGTTTCCACTTCATCTTCCAAACACGAAGATTCAGTTCTATACATTTTCTTTTCAATCATCTTTCCAAAAAGAAATCAAGGGGTACCAGAAAAATCTGGTGACTATTGAGGACATTCGATATCACCACATTGTCTAAACGAACAATTTGTTCAGGCTAGTCTCAACTCACCTACACTGTAGGTTGAAATGGACTAACACCTATCAGAAAAAAGTACTCCCCTGGTTAATACCACGAAGGACATTAGATTAGCCAGGGCGTTAGTATAAGCCTGGCGAGCAGTTGTGTTCTGATAGCTGTTAGTCCATTAACCTACAGTGTAGGTGAATGGAGACTGGTTCTTTTGTATGATTACATTTATAGCCAGTCCCATTACGATATTCCATGCTACCTATTCTTTCAATTATTAGTCGTGGAAAATATACTTCAAAATAAACTGGTATCGGAAGTAGTAGACCCAAACATCACAACGATTTTTGATAGTTTAAAAGAAAAATTGCACCACTGTTCTGTAGACAGTATAATGGAAAATAATCAACTAACTTCCATTTGATTCGATTTGGAAACTTTATGGGATTGAACACAACATAGCTGAAACTATTCGATTGTTTCAAAGTTTTGTCCGTGTACATGGGTTTACTTTAAACTGTAGTTTAATCCTTATTGAATCCTTGTTCAATTTATTCAAAATAAGCGCCATTTGAATCAATGCACTTTTGTAAACGTAACACAAGTCGAATAATTCCGTCAGCATAAAAATTGTGTGCTCGAAATTCGATGAAGTGGACGAAGGTCGTTTTTGCCTGGTCCTGATATTGATGGAGGTTGGAAAGTGCTTGAAAAAATGGTGATCTTTTGGTGAGATGGTTACAAAAATCTCTATTGATCAGTTTATACCCTGACACAGGAGAATGAATATTTATTGAGATACGGAGCTGCAAATAGATATGACATTGAAACGGATAAAACTTTCGGAACAATCTGATATCATAGTGTTGTTTATCGTTTTTGTTGTTCTTCAAAAAGATATTGTGCTGGAGCTAGGACTCGTCGTGACATAACTTGGTTTGAAATCTTTTAATTTTCATTTTTCAGCTTTTATTGATATTTCAATTTTTATTTGTTTGGTTGTTGCTTGTATGTTATTTCTTTGTAACTTCAGTTTCTTGTTTAATAAAATTGTTATTTTCAGTTAATCATAATAATTTTTTAATTGTTTTTTCAGGGTTTTCAAATCAATTTATATTATATTAGACAATGGAAGGCCGAACTGATGAAATACACAAAAGATGTTTGGAATTATCATAATTTGAAAAGGAGAAGTGTCACTGCAAAGTGTTTTTAACTCAACCTAGATTTTTTTCAGTACAATAAATAACGAAATGGAGATAATATTGGAACATGGAAATTGAGTAAACAAAATTTATATATTTTCCTTGACGTTGCTTATTAGACAACGAAATATTACTCTCATGAACAATCAATACCAACATAGTCCTTCGAAAAAAGTAATTCATATGGATTTTTCATTCTATCACCTCAAGTTTTCCTCTAATTATAGGATGAAGATCCAATAATGGTCTGTTCCAATTGAGAGACTGATGAACATCATTAACAGTAAAAATTTTAGTCGATAGGTCATTATAATATGTTTGATTTTCAGACCCAATTTCACAGACAGAATATATTGCTAAAATATGAGTCGAGATGATAATTCCAAACAAAGATTTGGTATAGACCGCAAGTATTCATAATTTATAGCGCAAAATAATATTTTTATGGCATATGCAGTCATATTTCGTAGTGCAAAACTATAAATTCAAGGTTGTTACACGATTCAAAATCTCAGGTATTGCTTTGTAATATTTTGAATACTACAAAATCACACTTTAACAAATTGAAAAAACTGAAATAGTCGAATAGCAAACAGTAAAATTTGATATTTCACTTATTTCGCAGTGTTAGATAATTATACAACCTGAGTTTACATAAATCAATAATATATTCTCAGAATTATTGCTGATTCGTATTTATCAATTTTCTCATATATAAATTGCAATAAGAAGGACGTAAAATCATTGACACTAAAAGTAAGAGGGAACAAAAGAGGTTTGAAACAATATCAAGGCTGCTTTCAAAACAAACCAGTAGAATTTTATAGCTGCCGATACACTGATGAAACTTCCTCTCTCACTTTTTAATCAACAGTCTGCTCGGCTATTCCGAATACGAGTCATGTACTATTCCAATTAATTTTCAGACTAGCAACTACACATTATCTAGAACTCATTGGCACAGTTTGTCAACCAAAGTTCATATAGCGACGTCTTTGAATGTATGAGTTAACGGTTGTATTAGATTGGTCGCTACTTCTCCAGATGTTCTGGAAAAGAGAACATTTTCTGCGATGTTTCGTTTCGATTTGTACCATCATTGAAGTGATGACCATCATGTTTTGGTAGATAGTTTAATGACCATTGTATTTCGTCACTTCCTTTGTTTTTATCGTAGTTTTCCCGGAAATTGGGTTCTCCAAAACCAAAGATATTGATAGTTTGGGGTGAAGGAGCCGGGTCTCGTTCAAATATAAAGTAACTCATTTCAAGAGCTAATCTTCAAGAAATTCCACAAAATAAAGAAGTGTCGAAGATATCAGCTAAATTAATTCACTACTCACATGCCTAGAACTTTCCAAAAACACCCAAAAGTACTTCCGTTGGGCACCCGCCCCCCATAAGTAACCGTCATATTTTCGTTATCACAGCAGGCCTAGCCCTGCTTCACTCACGTCACAAACACCATAGAGAATCGTAGCAACCTCTGGTGGACATTCGAAGTCGTACTGTGGTACCGGCAACCGTTTCACAAAGACTGACTTGACAGTCACTAGCGTAGGTGATCGCAGGTGTGTATGTAAGTGCAATGCATAGTGGGGCGTGCACATTGAAAAAATGAATTAGTCTATTCGAATAACGTGTTTGGTGTTATGGTGTTGGAATTACCATGAAATATATTCATAACGACGAATGGCGATTTGTCAAAATTCGTTCTAGTTCAATATGTAATCATTTCAATAAATTCACATGGAGGCTGATGAAGGTCAATATTTTGTTGAAACTCCGTTTTATTTCTGAAACGTTAATGAAGAAAGGTTTCTGAAAGTAGTTGTTTATAACATATCATGTATAATACAGAGTATTCCGAGTATAGTCAAAGTAATCTTTATTGTGAATAGTTAAAGTTGAAAGAGCATATTCTTCAAAGTCAGAGACTTGAACTTCTACGTCTATTTGAGTAGATGGAAAAAACCATACGTACTTTTGCTATATTGTCCACTTACAATTCTGTATTTCATATGTGCTCATATATGTATGTACACACATCGGAAAAGTCTAGGGATATTTTTATAACATACTAAATATCATAAAAATAAATGCATGAGGTCGTTTAATTTCGATTAAATTGGTACACTCGACCAAGCGTGGAGGCCATACTTTGTACTGATTCCAATTTTTTTTGTATTATGATTTTTTTCGGGGTGCCAAAGAAGAGCCATATTTTTTTTAGTTTTGCTTATATGCGCACTCAGTATTTTCGACCATTTAATAAATTTTGTTGTAAGTTACATTCGTTTAATAATCACCCGTCAACTTTTTTTTCCCAAAGCGATCTAAAAAAAATTATTGCCATTTTCAAAAATATCCCTAGACTTTTCCGATGTGTGTATATATGTGTATATATGGGCACTATCGTTTTGTAAATATATATCAAATCCATTTTCAACAACATGTTTTCATATATTATTACCAGTAGGTACGCGTATTTTACAATTGTGATTTTATACTTAACTGTCAATTTAGTTTTATGTTTGTATGATTTTATATTCAACCGAACACTAAACTGTTCTCGTTCGACATAAAAAACATGTACTCCAACATACCAGTCAACAAAAGTATAAACATCATATCTGAGAAACTAAAGCACCAAAACATAGACAAAACCTACATTAACCAAATGGAACACAGTCTAAATACAATACTTAATCAAAATTATTTCGAATCTGAAGGGTAAATTTATAAACAAACAGATGGACTAGCGATGGGATCCCCACTTTCTAGCCTTATATCCGAAATATACCTGCAAACCATAGATGAGAAAATCTTAACAATAATAAATACACATGATGAAAAAGGAGAATGGTTCAGATACGTTGACGATGGACTGTACATATCACAAAACAATGGAATAAGAATAGAACAAATAAAAAAAGAAATTAACGAAATAAATCAAAAACTATGTTTCAGCATTGAGGAAGAACACAACTCAAAACTCAACTGCCTGGACATAACCATAGGATATAACCACAACAAACACAATTTCAAATGGCAATATACAGGAAACCTACACAAACAAGCTCCACCATACCCGCAAGTTCAAACCATCCACCATCACACAAAATGGCTGCCTATAACGCATTCATATATAGAATGTTAACTATATCATTAAAGGGGAACTGTTGGAAATTATGTTGCACTGTATTGTTTACTTGAACTATAAAATGAGTTACTCTGAACCTTTGAATAATATCCTGTACATAATAAATCGTCGTGAAAGTAAGGAACCTTTTCAGAAAAATATAAAAAAGTACCAAAGGATTTTCAGAATTCCAAATTACTGGTGAAGTTACACCCAAAACCCGTTATTTTCATGAAAATATATTGTTTTTCAAGTGCTAGTCAGCTCATACTGGTGGTATAAGAACGTTTTCACCTGAGAATGTGAAAATTTCATCTGAAAGAAGTGACGCAAATGCTTTGTGAGTTCCCAGAAGTTTCATTCGGGTGAAGTCAATGGGCAGTTCTTTCAAAGAAAAGATGAATATACTGTGAATACTACACAAAATTTCCAAGTTATCGATTGTCAATTATGACGCCAATATCAACAACGGAACTGTGTAAGTGAATTTAGGAACAGTGAAACGATGCCTTCAACAAAACTACGTGGGTAAACAATCAGCATTAAGCTGAGTTTTGTCAGAGTAATGATTATTAGATAATATGCAATAGACGGGACCGCAGAAATTTCAATAACGAATCAATTAGTAAGTATTGCATGTTGATTTGGACATCTTGAGAACTATTCTATGTGGCATAGAACTTCAAAAAAATGTAATGCTCACATGTAACGTCGTTTAGGAATAAATAATAGTTTGAACATCTAAAAAAACACGCTTCAATAGCAACACACACTGAAAAATAATTCGAAACTAATTTAAGATTGTGTTCAACATCGATAATAAGTCCTATCACTTGATGTAACAAATGACTTTCAATAGGTCTGGAATCAGAATAAATCTATTTATGAATAAAATAAATGTGTGAGGTGCTAAATATCCATTGTCATAAATACTGTGATAAATAGGAGCTGTTTGACAGATTGGCACCTCACGCTCTTTTACAACAAAATTAAATTAGTTTCGAATTATTTTTTATTTTTCAGTTTATACGCATGCACAGAGAGTATGGTTGCCTCGCTGCTCTTACATAAAACTGACATTTCTGGAAAACTCTTTTGATAGAACGATATCATTTCATGTTTCCATCATATTCTGAACATTTTTTTCAATAAATACTCCAAATATCTTTATGCAACCGACGGTGGAGCGTCATTCACCATGGCGCTCCATCTTGCCGTACTACATACCCTATTAATAACTGTGCATCGCAACTATTAATAAATGTAGGTACGTCGCATAGATCGCAAATTCGATGAAAATGGTAACTGGAGGAGTATCACTTGCTTTCAAGGACTCCATAAATTCAGAAGTCATGGATGTAAGTACATTCGATATGCAGTTTCCTTGAATATACCTTTCAGTAGTCAAATCAGTTGTTTGCTCTGCAGTAATGGTGTACCATCGGTAAATAAATCAAATGAACTAAATCAAATTTATTCAATTCAGATTAATGTAAAATATATATCATAAAATAGAGCTTATTTTACAAAACTATAAATAACATGTATGAAGGATCGTGGCTATCTAAGCCAAGCTTGTGTTACAGTCACGAATCCAATACATTTACAAACTAAGATAAACCTACTAATTAGCTCTGGGAAGTCCTAGAAAGACAACCAAAGTGATGAGAAGTCTTTTAGCATAATAAAAGCATCAAATACGAAAGAAGATACAGAAACAACAGCTTGTGATATTGTATAGAGTGATTGCGGAATGGTGGATTAGTCAACTATTCAGTATTGTTTCCAATCTGTGGTAGTTGAGACTGATGAATGTTTTTCGAATCTATTTTCAATTTAGTATAACTTCTGATACATTTTAGTGACGTCGGTAAAGTATTGTAGAGTTTTGGTCCAATGTATGTAGGTAATAAAATTTGATTGTCGGCATCGTGAAACCTTTACAATCTGAGAAGTGTAAACGAGTATTATATATATTCTAAACAAATGTACCCGTAACACTGGCTGTTCATAATATACAACGGAAAGTATACAGTTTTCTTGAATTATATATTCCACTCTCTTCATATAATGCTTGAGTACTATAGAATTTATTCTTTCTTAACATAATTTTCATGAGTGAGTTTGGGATCATTTCTAAATCACGTCAGGAAGATTTGAATATTCCTCCCCATTTTATTAGACAATACCGTAAAATGGACTCGGCCAGGACATCATATACAGTAAGCAACATTTTTCTACTGACTATACTTCTGAGCTGATAAAATTTGTAAGTGAGCTTACGCAATTATTTAACCGTATAGTCAATATGATCATTCCAACGAAGGCCCTGATTCACTAGGACCCCTGAGGGTCCAAGTGTATCAGTTTTTTCTATGAAGGGACAAGTGCAAGGGAGTCTATCGTTTTGGCAAGTAAGTTTATGGATTTCAATCTCAGTAATAGTGGGCTGATGCTTTTTGTTGAGGAGAATGCAATAAATTTAGTTTTTTTGACGTTGACACTCAATAAATTATTACTTAGCCAGTGGAAAATTATATTTATACCTACCTCAGCCTTTCTGTAAGCTTCTACCCATGTGTTCACGACAAAAGTTAATGCTGTATCATCCGCAAAAGAAGTTATATTACCTTCGAAGTCCCTCACTGAAAAAATATTATTTATGTATATTAGAAATAAGATAGGACCGAGCACCGTTCCTTGAGGTACGCCCCTGGTTATTAATAGAGGTTCACTAATTGAATCATTTATTTTAAATATCTGGATCTTATTAGACAAATGATCCTCAAAGATGTTTAACGCTTGTCCTCTTATACCAGAATCATGTAAACGCTGAAGAAGTATATTGTGATCCACCGTAACAGTTATAGTTTTGTCTTGATTTTGAAAAGAATAGTTAACTAAATCACCTACTTCAAAGTGGATCTGTTTTCTCTGAAACCAAATTGACATTGAGAAAAAAAATTATTATTTTCTAAGAAACGCACCACTCTTTTTTATACATTTTTCCAAAATTTTTGCAAAATTGTTTATGAGTGTTATAGGTCTATAATTAGTTACAAGTTTTCTATCCCCAGACTCAAAAATTGGTATTGTAATTGATTCTTTAAAGGAGGCTGGTATTTCTCCTACTACGAAGATTAAATTTAATATAAGACAGAGGGGTATAGCAAAGTGAGTGTGATACTTTGCAATACTATGAAATCATTATCTATTTTGGAATGATTCAAACAAGATGAAAAAAAGTCATCCAGGAAGGGAATCCGAATGAGAAATATTCTGAAGTGTTTACTATTCATGGTGAGGTCAGTCTTCACCTTGAAAATTTCTTGGAGCCTCATCGAAGTTCTAAACCGTACCAAATCTCATAGACAATTGAATTGGCATTGGAGCCCCCAAATGATCGTGTTTGA